TCTTTTTTTTTTTTTTTTTTTTTTTTGAGTTAGAGTCTCACTCTTGTTGCACAGGCTGGAGTTCAGTGGTACATTCACAGCCACCGCAGCCCCTCGACCTGCTGGGCTTAGATGATCCTTCCTTCCGCCTCAGCCTTCCAAGTAGCAGACGCCCATTTCCTGATGAGGCAACTGTCTCAGGATTATAACCTCAGACACCGACATATCTTCAGATATCAGTTCTGCAAAGTAAGGGATGGAGGCGTCTGTCCAGGCTTACAAGACATGCCCAACGTTTTATTTACTTGGAGATAACTAGACAGAGTGAACTACAGAGGCACACCACCAAGCCCAGCTGTTTTTGTGACTTATTGTAGAGACGAGTTCTCACCAAGTTGCCCAGGCCGGTCTCAAGCTCCCAGGCTCAGGGAATCCTCTCGCCTTGGCCTCTCAAAGTGCTGGGATTACAGGCTGAGCCACCGCGCCGGCCAGGGGTCATTCTTAACCAACCTGAGTGGCCATGAAAACTACTGGAATTATCTGGGAGATAATCATCTGAATTATCAACTTGACCTACAGTGTTTTTGCTGATAATGAGAACGTGGGCGGTGTGTGTGTGTGTGTGTGTGTGTGTGTGTGTGTGTGTGTGTGTGTCTTTACATGGGTGATGTCACCTGCTGAAATAGGGACCGAGTGCTTAATTCAGACACCAACACCAAAAGTACAAGTTATAAAAAGGAGAGGTTTTTATTAGCCATGAGCCGGCCAGCGGCCACTTGCCTGCTGGACATAACAGTCCCACAGCAAGCGGTGCCCATTAGCTATAGGGGCTTGCTTAAATGGGGGAAAACCACATTGGGACTTTCCAAGTGGGTCAAACCGTAACATCCTGGAGGCTTAGGTACCTTTCAAGCAATGCTAGTGGGGTTCACAGAAGCGGAAAAAAAAAGCTGTTAAACAGTTTAACCTAGCCAGCAGGTGCTGTTGCCAGTTTCCAGAAAGGGAACTTTTTTTTTTTAAACTGTGCAAAGGTTGAGTACATGCTTAGCCTAATTTTTGACACTGTAGATGTCTTTTTAAGCCCCCTTCCACACTGCCAGCTCTGAGGGAACCATGTCCTCCCTTCAGAAGATGTAACCCACGAGCCAGGGACAGGTGTGATATTGCCCAACAGACGCATATTTTCTTTTCTTTTTTTTCTTTTTTTTGAGTTGGAGTCTCACTCTGTCACCCAGACTGGAGTGCAGTGGCCACTCCTGGCCACTGCAGCCTCGACCTGCTGGGCTCCGGTGATCCTTCCGCCTCAGCCTTCCGAGTAGCTGGAATTACAGGCATGCGCTACCATGTCCGGCTGATTTTTTGATTTATTGTCTAGATGAGGTCTCATCAAGTTGCCCAGGCGGGTCTCGAACCCGCGGGCTCCGGCAATCCACTCACCTCAGCCTCCCAAGGTGTGGGATTAGCCCGGCTAGGACGCATATTTTCAAAGGTCTACCCGTCAGAGAGGCGCTCTCTTCCTCTTGAAAGAATCCACAGTGCCGCGCCTCTCTGACAGCAGCTCTTCCATCACACCCGGTTCCCAGGACTCGGCAACTCCCCAGGGGTACACCAAGTTAGAATCCTGGGCACGTGCACAGCGTCCCGGTGCCTTTATTACGGGACGTGAGGGGCGGGGCGGAGTATGTTTTGGCCAATCAGAGTCGGCGCTCTGCTCAGGCCCCTCCCACCCCCTGTCGTTCCCTAGGTAACAGCTGGAGCTCATTCGCCCATCTCTTGGGGTCTCCATCGCATTGGCGGGAGAGTTGCCCTGCCCTCCCGAGAGGCCAGAATGGCGACTCCGCGGCCTCCTGGGTCCGTAGTTGGGGAACCGGACCGGGAGTCGCTTCTGGATAGTTCTGGGAGGAGGCAAGTCGGTTCAGAAGGTCAACCCGCATCTGGGCCTTTTCTCCACCCCGGGGTATTTCTCCGGAGGCGGGAGCTTCATTCGACCTCTGATAAATGCTCTGCAGACATGCGGAAGCAACAGAGTCGGCGGACGCCCATTTCCTGATGAGGCAACTGTCTCAGGATTATAACCTCAGACACCGACATATCTTCAGATATCAGTTCTGCAAAGTAAGGGATGGAGGCGTCTGTCCAGGCTTACAAGACATGCCCAACGTTTTATTTACTTGGAGATAACTAGACAGAGTGAGCTTCATTTCATTTCTCTCAATAGGCAATGCTGTTTTCTAAATGACTGTGGAATGGGTCAGTTTTGCTTCCACACGCCAAGTGGCTGGCTGAACCATGTCTTATTCACTCAGTTCTAAATTCCAAGTGCCAATTTTGATTTCTTCTGACCCGTGAGAATCCCTGACTGCCTGCTCCGGTTGGAGAGAGGTCTTAAACACAAATTGGAAGTTGTTTCTCGGAGGGTGGGTGGGTTTGAGACTATTCTCTGGTACAGTGCAGATTTCCCAGAAACATCTCTTTTGCTTTCCACTACATGGGGAGAACATTAGGGTGTTCTCAAGTAGCTGTCCCCAGGGAAGCTTCATTGTTGTGGGTCTCCCCTGGACTTCTGGTTCCATAGCTTTCTGACTATATGCAGGGCAAGCTTGGTGGGACTTCTCACTTCCCTGGTGTCCACTCAGTATCTGGCTTTCCCTAAATTAGTGACAGCTCCCCATCCACTTTTAGTTTCAGAAATCCATTGCCAGTGACCCCTCTTTCCTCAACCTCATCCTCATGGGTTTCTACGTTTTAAAAACCCCTCTGTAGTTTCAGTGGATTTCTGAGCCAAGTGAGATGGATGTGTCCAGTCAGATCTCAGAAGTCCAGGGACTTTTACAGTCACTGCCTGTTAAGGGTTAAGAGCAGACGGGCTAGTCCAACATGACCACTGAGGTTGTAAGGGGCAGATATCTGAAGGCCCAAGACATGGGAGGAAGTGGGAGACCAGGTTGGTGGTCAGTGATCAGTCATGGATACCGAGAGGGGCAGATTCAGAGAAGGTGGAGCAGCTGAGTGAAAACAAACACAAGCATAGGTGAGAAGGAGCTCAATGGGGAAGGAACTTGGAGGGAAGACAGGCTGGGGCACTGAGCCCAGTCTGAGGGGTCAGGAGGGCTCAGGACAGTAAGTTGGCTCTAAGACCATCAAACCAAGGTAAAGATTTCAGGTGACTCTCTGGGTACCCAACTTGTTTGAAATATGCCTCTGCTCCTGAATCCCATGGGATCTCCAGAAGAGCCCTCTGTTAGGAGTCTTCATCTACAGCTTTACAGACTTAAAAGGGGGAAGAGTGATTCAGGGACCCACAGGGGACCCACCTCAGAAAACCAGCTCTTGCAGGGACTTGGAGAGCTGCATCCTGAATACTCCAACTCCTTTTTATTTTTTGAGTTGGAGTCTCACTGTTGCCCAGGTTGGAGTGCAGTGGTATGCTCATGGCTATCGCAGCCTTGACTTGCTGGGTTCAGGTGATCCTTCTGCCTCAGCCTTCCAAGTAGCTGGAACCACAGGCACGTGGTATCACGCCTGGCTAATTTTTTGATTTATTTTAGAGATGAGGTCTCAACAATTTGCCCAGGCTCGTCTTGGACCATGGGCTCAGGCAATCCTCTCACCTCAGCCTCCCAAAGTGCTGGGACTATGGGAGTGAGCTGCCACCCCCAGCCTACAACTCTTTGCAGGAACTTGGGAGGTTTGTGGGGCAGAAGGGTCTGGGGTCCAATGGCACAAAACCTGTTTTTGTTTGTTTTTTTTGAGTCAGAGTCCCACTGTTGCCCAGGCTGGAATGCACTGGCACACTCATGACCACCGCAGCCTTAACCTGCTGGGTTCAAGTGACCCTTCTGTCTCTGTCTTTCAAGTAGCTGGAACCACAAGCGCACATCACCATGCCCAGCTAATGTTTTGATTTATTATAGAGACAAGGTCTTGTCAAGTTGCCCAGGATGGTCTTGAACCCCTGGGCTCAGGCAATCCTCTTGCCTCGGCCTCCCAAAATGCTGGGATTACAGGTGTAATTGAGCCACCGCACCTGGTCCTGTTTGTACTCTTTTTAAGTAGGGGGATGGCTATAAGGTTCTGGAGTATAGGATGGAGGACCCACTGGGCTGGAGTCAGTGTTGTGGGGTCACTACATATGGCCATATCCTCTGCTTCAGCAGCAGGCGACACACAGCCCTGCCTTGATTCCTCCACCTTTCTATGGCCAGGAGGGCTCATCGCACAGTTGAAGCCATGTCCTGAACATCTGTCATAATACACAGCCTGATGGTTTGTCTACATATTTTCAGTATCACCTGCACTGCAATGGGGTGAAATGGGTGCAGGTTGTTACTTTTCTTTTTTTTTTTGAGTTGGAGTCTCGCTCTGTCACCCAGACTGGAGTGCAGTGGCCGCTCCCGGCCACCGCAGCCTCAACCTGCTGGGCTCCGGCAATCCTTCCGCCTCAGCCTTCCATGTAGCTGGAATTACAGGCATGCGCTACCACACCCGGCTGATTTTTTGATTTATTGTAGAGATGAAGTCTCGCTGCCCAGGCGGGTCTCAAACCCGCGGGCTCAGGCAATCTACTCACCTCAGCCTCCCAAAGGCGCAGGGTTACAGGCTGAGCCACCAAGCCCGGCTAGGTTGTTACTTTTCACACAACTGTTTTAAAATAAACCTTTATCAGCCAGGCTCAGTGGTTCAGCCTGTAATCCCAGCACTTTGGGAGGCTGAAGCGAATGGACTACCTGAGCCTACGGGTGCGAGACCAGCCCAGGCAACTTGGCAAGACCTCGTCTCTACAATAAATAAGAAATTAGCCAGCGTGGTAGCATGTGCCAGTAGTTCTGGCTAATTGGAAGGCTGAGGCAGAAGGATCACCGGAACCCAGCAGGTCGATGCTGGGGTGGCTGTGGATGTGCCACTGCTCTCCAGCCTGGGCAACAGAGTGAGACCAACACTAAATAAATAAATCTTTATCAGAGCTTCTTTGAACTCTTATTAAAACCTGAACCATGTTCTGGCACAGGGACAGGAGACTGCTGTAGACGGCCACACTGCTGTACAAAAAACCACATGTATTTCACGTTGCAAATGCTACTTTTTTTCCCCAGTAAAAAGATCATTTATTTCTCAAAGATGAACCTCCAGGCTACAGGAAGCAAACTGGGCCCCAATTCCACCCTTATGTCCGTGTCATGCAGGGGTGTTACACTGGGGCGGGGGGAGCATCTCAGGAGGGCTTCACACATAGCCTTAGGTAATGGCAAGTCCTTCCTATTCAACTCTCCCAATTGAGGACAAATGGGAGGACACATGGCAACCAAACCCAGCAAAACTGAGCAGCCTCATCTTGTCTCTAAAATTACTACTATCAGCTCAGATGTAAAGGCTGCTCATACCATCAACTTTGGTGACAAGAGTTGGTGACAGGACTGGATCAAGCTTAGACTTGGAGGAGAATGTGAATATACGTCACTGAGGAGCCATCTTCCTGGATATGTCCTTCCAATGCTGGGAGCCACAGTTTGCCCCATGGGCTTCCACCTCCAGATTCTGCCAAGTATGGAAAGCCAGGCCCTCATACATGACTGACCAGAACACAGCCTGAAAGGAAAGGAGTCTGGATGCTGGGCCAGTCCACCTGGGCTTGAGTTTGTCTCCACTGTGTGCCACGGACAACTCTTCTCCAGTGTGTGCTTCAGGTTTTTCATCTTCCAAGTAAGAATACCAGCCCAGCACTCAGAACAAGAGCTGGCAGTGAACTCATGTTGGCCCGTACAGGATCCTGCCTATTAGAGTGTATGCAAACACAGTGCTCAGTGGACCCAAATCTTGTTTATTTTTTCCAGGAGAGGAGGCTGAGACTTAGAGCCTAGTCACTTGCCCAAAGCGCATACTCCAACCCCTAGTCCCCTGTGGACTCTTGCCAACTGGATGGCCCTGGGGAAGGCTTGGATGAACAGAGGCTGGTGGGATACCCAGAGGCCATTCAGTGGCCAGTTTGTGCACAGACATCACAAATTTCTTTGGGCAGCCCCCATCCCATGGGGGATTCCTCCACTTCACTTCAGCATCCACTGTCATAACATACCTTGAGTGGCATCACAGTGAGGGGCTGCCATTGTTGTCTTCCTCATGGCTCTGACTACAGGCACTGCCTCACTAGAGTCCCAGCCTCCATGTGCTGCCCTTCATGTTTCTGTATTGTGACCTCTCTGGAGATGGAGGTCTGACCTGTGGCTGAAATGGCAAATCCTGTCACCATGTGAAAATGGAATACAAAGGGTCTCCCTAGTCCCTGACTCAAATGCACAGGCCTTGTCCCTATTGTGGATCTACAGAGTACACGGGCCCTTTAGTTGTGAAAGGGATTCACCGAAGGCCAGGAAAGGTGGGGCTGCGACCTGCCACCTCAGGCCTTGTCTGACTTTGGGACTGGAGCTGGAACTGTGGCGGGAGTGGGTTCGGCTTCCCTCCCCGGTACATCTTCCGATGATGCCCTTGAAGGAGGCCTGGCTTGCGGGTGCAGGCTGGGCCTGGGGTGCTGGCTTTCTCACCAGTGTGCGTCCTCTGGTGGTGCAAGAGGGCCTGACGCTCACGGAAGGCACGGCCACAGTGTGTGCACACAAATGGTTTCTCGCCCGTGTGGATGCGCTGGTGGCTCAACAGTACAGTGCCCTTGGAGAACCCCTTGCCACAGTCCCCACAGCGGAAGGGCCGCTCGCCTGTATGCAGTAGTTGGTGCTGGGTGAGGTTGGAGCTGCGGCTGAAGGAGCGGCCACACTGTGTACAGACAAAGGGCTTCTCGCCCGTGTGCACACGCTGGTGCAAAAAGAGCGAGGAGCCCTGGCTGAAGGCAGCTCCACAGAGCGCACAGACAAAGGGCTTCTCACCCGTGTGTGTGCGCTCATGCTGGATCAGGTGCGAGTTGCGGCAGAAGCGGCGGCCACACTGTGCACAGGCATAGGGCCGCCCGCCCGCATGGATCTTGCGGTGCTGGCTGAGGTTGGAGCCATGGCTGAAGGCCTTGCCGCACTCACTGCAACGGAACGATTTCTCAGCTGTGTGGATGCGCTGGTGCCGCACCAGTGAGGAGCTGTGCCGGAAGGCCTTACCACACGCAAGGCACGCATAGGGCGTCTCGCCGCTGTGGATGCGCTGGTGCTGTGTCAAGTGTGACGTTTGGCTGAAGGCCTTGCCGCACTGGGCACACTCGTAGGGCCGCTCCCCAGTGTGGGTGCGCAGGTGCTTGAGGAGGTCTGAGCTCTTCACAAATACTTTGTTGCATGCCCTGCATTCGAAGGGCTTCTCCCCAGGGAGGAGACCAGGGCTGGCCTGGAGAGCCTCGCCCAGGTCATCCCAGCTTGGGGACGCCTGGCCTCTGGGGAGTCTCTGAGGTTCATGCCAAGCTGCACCGGTTCCATCTGTGCCCCCTACGCTAACATCCTCCAGGTCCTGGACGCTCCCCAAGGTTTTCCCAGGGGCATCCTGTGTACACGGTTTCTGCCGCTCGAGTGCCCTGGGATGCCTTCCCAGTGCAAGGTGGTCTGTGAGGGTCTTCCTTGACCGGCTGCCCTTGGGAGGCCTCAGAGGGGAGGTCAGTCGCAGGCTGACACTGGCCTGGCCACTGCCTGAGCCTATCAGGAGCCTCTCCCAGTAGATCACTGACACCCCCGTGGGTTTCCTCTCCCGAGATGGGGACACATGACATTGTCCCTGCAGGCTTTTTGCAGCATGGCAGGCACTCACAGCAGGGCAGATACTAGTAGGTATCCTAGATGGCCTATGTGGAAAGGCTCCTGGTGATGCCACTTCTCCAGAATCATCTCCATCCTCTGCCAAATGCCAGGACCCTGAAAGCAGAGAAACGGTGGCTGACTGGGGCAAACTCCAGGAGGTTTTCAGGGCAGGCTGAGTGGGCAGACAAGGGTGAACCCCAGAGGCCCAGGTGGCTCTGCAGGAGGGGCTGAGGTATTGGGGCAGCATGTGCCCTGACAGGTGTGGCACTCAGTGCATTAGGGACTCCCACCATATGGACACCAATCCCTGGGCACCCAGGCTTTGGGGTGAGCATAGTTCAGTAGATGCTATTGCCACCCAGGCCTTGGACTGGTCAACTCCTGCTTCTATCCCATCACTCATTCCTCTTTCCCCAGGGCCCCAATCTCGGGCACCCACTCCACAGACTGCTCTGCTCCTTGCACTGACCTCTGTCTTAGCTCTAGCCTCATTCATGAGTCTTTCTTGCAGACTATCTCTCCCCCAGCACTGGTAGCCCCACAGAGGCAGGACCAGAGAACCCTGGTAGGGGCTGTCTCTAGTGCCTGGCACTATAAGGCTCAAATAATAATTGATGACCACAAACAGATGAAAGAAGGAAGAAATGACCCCACAAATGTGCCAGCTAGATGTGGAGAATTTGATGCTACACAGCCAAGCTGAGGGTGGGACACTGTACATGTCTCACCAGTCTGGGAGACCCACCTGTGTGAAGCCAGTTCTGTGCTCTTCAAGCTCCCCTTCAAGGGCAGCTAAGGCTGATGCCTCCAGGAGAGGCAGATGACGGAAAGGAAGGAAGTCAGGAGAGGACATGTCTAAGTGTCTGGGAGGGGACGAGAGGGTTGGGCAGAGGTTAGTCCTGCATTCACCCCACACTAGGTTCCCACTCACCAAGGTTGTGCCTTCTGTGGGCGTTTCTGGCTGGGGTTGGGGCTGTGTCTGCTCCATGGGGAACCCAAGGCTCCTCACCACGCTCAAGTTGGGTGACCACATGAGGTCGGGAGGTGGAGAGTCCTGTGGGGAGGAGGAGCAGGTGAGAGGCCAGCCTAGCTCAGGTAACCCACCTCCCCAGAGAGGGTGGGAGTCAGGGGTCATGGAAATAGATGACATCATCTGTGCAACCAGGAGAACCTAAAGATGACCCAGGGCAAGGGCCATAGGAACAGCCCATGGGTGCTGAGAGCAGCAAATGTGTCTGCAGTGCCAAACAAAGGGGACTGAGCTCGGCACTGAACTGGACAAGCTGACAGGTTGTGACTAGGCCAACCATACTATGTGTCCAGGGTCCAGACCTTGCTCCACATGGCCCCAGAGCAGAGATGTGGGTCTGCTCATTGCCCACCAGTGAGGTGTGGGGGCAGTCCAGACAAAACAGCCTGTCACCAACTGGGCTTCCCATGGAGGACCCAGGGCCTTACCCAGCGAAGACACAAGGGCGAAGTTTTCCAGAATCACACAGCGGTACAGGGCCCTCTGGGCTGTGTCCAGAAGCCCCCACTCCTCCTGGGAGAAGTACACGGCCACATCCTCGAAGGCCATCAGGTCCTACAACAGCAGGAGGAGAGAGACACAGACCAAGGTGTGGCTGTGTGACCCAGGACCAAGCTCCCTGTCCCAATGGCCACCTCCCCTGATTTCCCACAGACACTCACCCGCCTTCCCTGGGTTCTGCCCCAGGACCTTCTTCAGATGGCACTTCCCTCACCTGCCAGGGCGCCCTCCCCTCCATCTTCACTGTCCAGGTCACAGATGCCCCCTCAGCCTCCCATACGAGAGCAAGGCCTGGGTGCTTGGCTGGCTGCCACACCAAGCGTAGCCCCAAGTGTTCACTTGTGTCAACAAAACCACTCATGACCCTCCCTAGATGTGTCCTTTCTGCTCTCATAACAGGCAATTGACTCCATCCCCGCTCTGGACCCCCATGGCATGCCCATCACTGGGACCCTCCCCTGCTGTGCTTGCCTGACATTTCCAGGCTGCCCCTCCAGCCTGAGGTTGGATGGTCCCCACCAGTGGCCAGAGGGAACCCAGGGACCTGATGAACACACAGTAAATCAACCCCTTCCTCCACCACAGTGGTGCCTCCTGTTTCTTTCCCAGTCGGCTGCCACTCTCCCCTCCCTCAGCCACCTGCCAGACTTTTCCCCCAGCCTCAGGCACCCCAGCCATTCTTCTTCACCTTCAAGCCCCAAGGGCCCATACCTGGAGAGGTCATGAAATCACTCCCTCCTTAGTCCAAGTGCCAGGCCCTGCCTTCAACCCAGGACACCAACAACCTCGGTTCCAGCAACACCGCCACTCCAGGACGTCAGAGTGCTGCTCTCTCCCTGAAAAGCCTGGTTTCCCTTGAGATGCTTCTTTCTGTCTCCAGCCACTCCACTCCTCCAGAAGCTCAGACTGAGCACTCACCCCACACCGGATGCATCGGCGGATCCACCCGGAATTGCATTGCTTTCCCAGCGCCTCGACCTTAATCCGGTCCAGGCGCCACCATCGCTCGCCTGGACTGAGGCAGTAGCCTCTTCCCTCACAGACACCCCCAGTGTGTCCTTTCTCCACGCAGCAGACAGGTTGAAAATCCTAACTCGGGTTTTGCTCACAACCGTCCATGGCTCCCGACGCCCTCCAGAGCATCCCAGCTCCTGGCATACCATTTCAGGCCCACACACCACTCCCAGCTCCTCCTGGAGACACTCGCTTCCAGAAGCGCCCGGCTCGCCCTCCCGGGTCTTGCATGCTCGGCATCCCGCAGTGGAGCTCACCCCCAGCCTCGCCCCGCGGCTGCCACCCTGCCTGTCCCCTAACGCGGACACCGCGGTGCGCGGCGACAGGCTCCAGCCCAAAGCAGGGAGCGGGAGAAGCCGCCAAGGACAGTCCTTTCCAGGGTGGGTCTCGGGCCACGGGGCACTGGGGTCCCCAGCCACTGGCGTCGCGTGTCAGCGCGGCCAAAGCGTGCACTCGAGGCAGGCGGGGAAGAGCCGACCCCGGCCTGCAGCCCCTCGGAGCGTCGCCGGGGCTGGTCTCCCCGCCAGACCAGGGCGCG